TCTGGCCTTTCGAGGGATCTCCTTCATCAACTGGTTGATGACAGTAGATCGCTTCAGCTGACCATCCCGAGCACTCCGTCTCTCGTTCAGCCATCGCAACCACAGCAACCTCAGCAGCAGCAATCGCCGCTTTCACCTCAGTCGCCTCACTCACAACCACAACCGCCCACCCTCGCGATCCCGCCACCTCCGCAATGCCCTCCTCCACCACCTCCAACGCAGCAGGCGCAGCATCACCATCAAGGCCATACGACACCGCCATCGGACGTGAAGATGCAGCCGCCGCCGCCACCCCTCCCGGAGGACATGTCTTGTACGTCTACTACTAATCCATTGGCGGTTCACTATGAATTGATTTCTTCTGCCATGTTCTGCTTGCCTCTGCGCCCGTCCCTCGGAATGTTACTAACATGATTAACCTTGAATAGCGCTCTTTGCATATCCTGCTGCCGTTCCGTTTGCTCATCGCCCTCGGATTTCCGTCTCGTCCACGAGCTCGGGCTCGTCTGGAACCGGCTCCATCTGGTCTAATCACTCGGCGCAGTCTTCCATGTCATGGGCCTCGGCGGGCTCTTCTCGCATGCAAGCGCCTCTTCCACTGCCGCCTCAGATTACTTCGCCAACCGGCGGACCTATGATGGCCGGGCCTAATTCGGTTCCTCCCGTGTCAGCCGGGGGATCACCAGCTAACAAGCAGAACATTTACTGGTGCACATCGTGCGAAACGAGCTTCAAACGCAAGTACGATTGGAAGCGCCACGAGGACGAATTTCACGAGCGTTGGAGGAAGTACCCTTGCCCCGAGCCTGGCTGCAATCGCAGCTTCTGGGGATCCAATTCGTTCAACCAGCACCACAAGCAGTGCCACGGATGCACAACCTGCCCTCACGCCGAGAAGGTTGTTCGATTTCTCCGCAAGCGCAAGTACTGGGCCTGTGGCTTTTGCTCTGCCCTTCACCCTGCTCGGGAGCGACACGTTGAGCATGTGGCTAGACATTTCGAGTCTGGGATGACAAAGGGAGAGTGGATGCACTCGCGTGTGGTCTACGGTCTGCTTCATCAGCCCCTTATTCATGAGGCTTGGGATGCGCTTGTCAATAGCAAGCAGTCTGATTACAGTGGCCGCCGACCGAGATTCAGTTGGCACCCCAGCAAGACTGGTCGTGCTCAGGGTTTCTTGGAAAAGGAGAACCCGGGCCAGCTGCAGGATCTTTTGGAGTTCTTTTCCGGCGACGAGGCTGACGCCCAGTGGATTGTCAGTGTGGCCTACGACTTGGCGGATATTGTGATGGACAACGTTCAGCTTGGCCCTCCTCAATTTCAGTCACAGCCTCAGGCTCACCCTTACTCCCAGGACCCACGAATCTCGTTCGCACCACTGCCACCCCAGCCGATGATGCAGTCAGCGGATCCAAACACCTCACAAGCTGGCGGGGCCCAAAATCCCTACGCCCACGCCTTCCAGGGCAACATGTTCATGAGCCCCCAGTCATTTGGACAGCCTGCCAGGTCCTCGCCTCCTGATTCAACATCTCACTCGCCTCTTCCCTCGACCCACTCACCAATCGCGCCGACTCAATCACCCGCCATCAAGCAGGAGACGCGCCAAGGCGATGGAGATGGCGGGATGGATTTCGAGTATGCCCCCACGCCCGTTGTCTTCGAGGACTGGGAGAGCGGGTCCGGTCTGGTGATGGACGATTCATCAAATGCTACGCCTACTCCGGGCTCACAGGCTGGAGGTTGGCCAATGATGCAATATTTTGGTGATCCACGTGTGGCCTCATAGGCAAGCTGTCTTATCAGTGGATCGCCAGTTCTTACGATGGGGTATCCCACTTACCCCAAGTTTCAGCATTGGATTTGAAACAAGTCTCTCATTTTAGCACCTGCCGATAATGTGTATACTACTGAGTGGCCTACTTCTGTTCTAGGACTGGCTATTGAGCTCACATACCGAGGGACTCACGACTTGCTTTTGCGATGGTTGCATTGCACGACTCATTTGCAGGCACCGGGATAATGATGATCGATATACCGGTTGGACGAGAACATAATCGAGGGAACATTTGTGTTCTTCAACAACTACTCGAAGGTCCGCCTTCCCCGACCCTCTTGTCAAAGACGTTTCATTGCGTCTGATTTCCTCTATTGTTTTTTCCATTGCATTACGCATCTATATTTCCTATGTCAAAGCAAAGCTTTTTCCGCCTGAATGAAGACAGGGGAAAAACCCGCGTCCCCTGCCACACCCTCTAATTTCAATCGACATTGTTTGAGAGCTTTTGGATTAATTATTGGACCAAAAAAGGAGTTTTAATGGGATGAATATTGATTACACGTTATGAAATTTTATTGCCTACTTGCCGCCTCAAATGCTTGGTATTCTTTTTCTATTTATTTCTTATATTTCTTTTACTATATTGTGGGATCAATGAAGGGGAATTATACTTGGGACGCGATCGGATGAGCTCCGAATTGGCTTATCTTTGACGCATAGAATCAATGGTATATATCGGGAAGGATATTATGAAAGATGAGAGCATACTCTAGCGTTCTTGGCAGAGCTATCTGTTGTCTGTGTAGGATATGGATCGCACCATAAAAACAATATAGAAGTACTTCGGAAACTTTCTCACTCTCCCTTTCATTATGACGAAACGTCTAGTTGCAACTCTCACCAGAGACCGAGGTCTCAGACCGAGCCGGGTCTGTCTGCTGGCGGGCGTCAATCGACAAGGTTGGTCCGGCAGGGTTGGGCTGGTTGATTGGCTCGGCTAGGGAGAGATACGAAATCGCAAGGCCAGTACGTGGTCCAGTACGGCAATGTGATAGAACGATCAGGGAAGCAGAGGCAGGGGGACAGCGCCCAGATTGGGAGCCCCCCGTCGTCCCTAGCAGAAGAGGCTCCAGGGCGTGGGGACTGTCTCTCGTGGGAATGACGATATGGCAGATGCAGGTGGAATATCAAGGGGTTAGAGGTGGGGGGAAGCTTCAGGGTCCTAAACCACATGTGCGAGTGAAGGAGCCAGCCGCCTTGTGGGGTGATTGTGTGAGGCGATAGGGATTTGTTTGAAACGGCTTTCGGGAAGCAGGGCCGGCTAGATCACGCAAAGGGCTGGGTTTGCTGACTGGAGTTGACCCCCCCTCCCTCTCGTGCGTGTCGCGGGAGCTGGCCGGTCCACGTGGGAGGGGAAGGGAGAGAAGGGGAAGGAAGGGTGGTATTTGTTTCATGGTTTCCTGCAAAGCTGGCGGCTCTGGATGTCTGATGGTAGGCTTACATGTAGGTACACGCACTGCGCAGCGTAGTAGCGTCCGGATTATGCAGGCAACGAACGACCAGCGAACCTGTCTGGAACGATTGGAGCCCCCATGTCGGCGGCCGGATCTGGAAGCATAGAACATGGGCTGCGTCACATGCAACAATTGACGCTGGAAGGGCACAGCGATAAAGAAGGCGCATCAAGTCTGTCTCAGATGAGTGCCAACCCCCTGCCCGCAGCCCTTGGCCGATTGGCAGAACTCGCGCCCAAGAACACGGGTTTGGCTTTTGCGAGGACGACGAGTTCCTCAGCTCCCAAGGCCGGTTCCTCTTTGAGATGCCCATCAGTTCGTTCCGTGGTCTTGCTTTGGGAATAGCTGGGCCCCCTCGCAAAACTCCACGGCCATGGTACATGGGTGCATGTGCGTGCGGACCCTCCCAGCAACCGACCAGGCTCCGTCTTAGCTCACTCGCTTCCCTTGCGCTAGATGGGGGAGGGGGGGCGTCTGCTGTACTGGGGAGACCTCTAAGCGGTTGCAATTTCCGATACCCAGGCAAAAAAGAGCCCTTCCTCGAGAGAGAGAAGCGCTTGCTGCTGTCGAGATGGACGGATCATTGCGGACTTTGGAGATGGGGGCTGGCTGTCCTGCCTCGTGATGCGTCTCAGATGCCATTATCAAGGCACATTTACGGCCGCACGCACGAGAAGTGTCTCGCTTCCGCTGATTTGCGGGGGGAGGGGACGAACCGGCCGTGGGCGCTTGGACTTCGCGAACTGCTGGTCGCTCGTGGGTTAGTCGTCTCTCCCCTCTCGTCTCTCTTCCCAGGATATCCTAGACATGGAAGTTGCCGTGGCCAGGAGTTGTTTTTTATTTTTGCCTTCTCAAGAGGCCCCGGTCAGGGCTGGCGTCATACTCAATCGAGTTGTCGAGTTCTTCTCAACTCGGCTGGCCTTGTCCCCTTCTGCTGTCAGCGAGGCAGGATCACCCTTGCTGCGCGGCCGCTTGCACCCATCACCTGCTCATTCTTTTCTCACTCCCCCCGGCTTGGGGCACTACGGGGTTTGCTCGAGGGCTGAGTTTGTAAGATTGTCTCAAGCTGGTCCCGAGTTGTCGGTGTCTCTGCTCGCTCCGAGATGAGATTGTGTGTTCGGTTCGCCCCTTTCGGTCCATTGGGCCTCCGAGAGTTGCGGTGATGATGTCGAGTAATAATGAACTTGTATTAGTTAGACGGATGGAAATTTGTCAGCTCTATTCTTGTGAATGCTAATTGGCATATCAGATACCCTATTTGAGAATCATTATTCAATCCTTATGAAGTGACTAGGAACTCGGAATGTACATCCCGCCTCTCTATGTCTGCGTACTCTATGCAATTCGACCTCTGTTTGAGAGGAGCGGGAGTCTTCTATCTAAAGTAAGGTCCAAACACGATTTGCGCCACGGTCAACTTAGACTGACAAGTTACGTACCTAGCCATAATTTAGACTTAAATTCCCGGTACCTGAGTTACTAGGCACCTTGTTGGGTGAGCCCAAGTAAAATGAAGTACCCTAGACCTCCAAGCCCTGGAGGGTCCCCTTTCCTATTGGCTGGAGGGGCGGGCGACCGCCTTCCTGTGCCAGCAGTGCGCCACACAGCGATTGGCTGGAAGCACTGAGTGACCTCCCTTCAATTGACGGGGCTGGCTCATCGCCGACGACAACCGATCGCGTGCGCAAACACACAGCACCTGGCAGATGGATGAAGAAGACCACTTCTCTGGTAGCTCGCCGGAGCTGGACAGAAACAACGAGAACGACAACGATGCCGAGAACGACGAGGTAATGGAGGATGCCGATGCCGACGGCGAGGGAGACGTAGACGCCGATGGTGATGCAGATGCGGATGCGGATGGAGATGCGGATGGTGATGCCGACGGCGAGGCGGACGACGACGAGGACAATGACAACGACAATGACGACGAAGACAACGACGATGAGAACGACGACGGCGAGAGCGCTGATGCGGGTGAGGAAGAGCACCAGAAAGCGCAATCGCCGTCCCAGTCACAGTCGCAAACGCAGCAAGATGGCAAGTCCTCGTCGAGTAAAGCAGCGCCAGATGGAGGCGAGGACAACGGGGCCTCGGGAGAAGGCGAGGACGAGGGCACTTCCACCTCCAACGGGGACGCAAAGGGTTCCCAAGATGCACAGTCAGGGCCGTTCCGGCCGTCTGTTCGCCCCGAAGCTCTGAACGCCCGCCTATACGACATCGTCCCCACGATGGCGGCGCCGCAGGCCACGAGCGTCAACGCCATGGCCATCACACCCGACCTGAGATACTGGTTCACTGGCGGGTCGGACGGCTACATTCGCAAGTACGATGGCCCGGGCACTATTAATGGTAAGCTTGCCTTGACTGTTGCGCAAAGGCATCCGTTTGTGGACAGTGTCACCAAGGCTGGCATTCTCATGTCATACTGGGAGAACGAGGAGCCATCGGGTCGAGGGGCCGCTGGCGACCACGATCCGGTGCTGTCGCCTGTCTACTCTCTGGCCGTCCACTCGCAAGCGCTGTGGTTGCTCTCCGGCCTGGAGTCCGGGGGCATCAACCTCCAGAGTGTGAGGCACGACGAGGGAAAGAAGATCACATGTCTACAGCAGCATACCAACGCCGTGAGTGTGCTGTCATTAGCACAGGATGAGCGGAGCGTGCTGAGCGGTGGGTGGGATAAGAATATTTTTGACTGGGACCTCAACACGGGGCAGGTCAAGCGTTCCTTTGAAGGGAGTGGTGGCCAGATATCTGCTCTTGAGCTACGGCCTGCGTCTGGGGAACCCGTCCCGGCCGATGCCGATGAGCCCTTCCTGTCGGATACCATTTCAACCAACAACGCTCAGCCATTCACAAACGGCACTGGTTTCCTCAATGGGGATTCCACAAGGGGGTCAGGCGCTCCAGGAGCTGATTCTACCGCATCATTCAACGGCGGCGAAGAGAGCCAGGCCTCCCCAGCCCACGAAAGCCTGTTTGGTGGTAGCGATGCCGGAAGTCTTTTTGGCGAAACAGCTGGCGAACAACCTTTCGGGCAGGATGAGGATGAGTACCATGGAGGTATGAACATGATGTCAGGTCATGAACATGGAGGTGGCATGGACCATTCGGCAGACATGGCCATGGCAGGCATGGAGGACAGCAAGGAAAAGGAGACTGCGCCTGCAGTGTCGGCGCCTGCTCCTGAAGGTGATGCCATGGACGTGGACCCGGTCGTCCCCCCTCCGTCCGAAGGTCTCTCACAAGCGCAGACTCTGAGTCAAGACATCAAACTGGAGCCATCGGCGTCTACTGATGGACCTCAGCTCGACCCAGAACAGTTAAGGATAGCCCGGGAGCTCAAACGGGAGGATACTGAAGTCAATGGAGTGCAGAATTCTTCAGCAGCTTCCCAGTCTCCCAAACTGTTATATGGATCAGGCCCCCAAACGCAGTTTGACCCCTCGCAAACCTCACCAGACACCTTCCTATCCGCCGCCATGGATGGTATAATCCGAATCTGGGACAAACGTGCCCCGACCCCTGTGGCTCGCATTGGAAACAGAGTAGGCGTGCCTCCTTGGTGCATGAGCGCATGCTGGAGTCCTAACGGAAATATGATCTACGCTGGAAGACGTAACGGCACAGTCGAGGAGTTCGACGTGCGCAAAGCTAAGAGAGGGTGGGAGCCTGAACGGGTGCTCAAATTCCCTGCCGGCAGTGGAGCCGTGAGCGCGGTAAAGCCCATGGTCAACGGGCGACATCTCGTCTGGTGAGTAACCTCCCTATTTATTTCCTTCTTCACGATCTGATGGCTAATGATGAGTTTTTCTCGATAGTGCTTCGCATGATATTATGCGGCTTTACGACCTTCGGGACACAAGAGCGTTCAAGCATTCTACAGTACCGTTCCTGATCATCCCCGGCCCGCCGCGTGCCGGAGTCATCTCAAGCTTATACGTCGACCCTACCAGCCGGTACATGCTCAGCGCAGCCGGAACCAGAGGCTGGGAGGGCAGCAGCACCGAAGTTTTGATTGGATACGAGATTAATGTTGTTGAGGATTAAGGAAGAGGCCAGGCTAGGATATGAAACAAGGAACTCTGAGCGAAGGAGCTTGGATTATCATGGGGCAAGAACCAAAAATAACGGGCGTTTTCAAAGCTGACCGCTTTCCTGGGAAAATATATTATACCTCATCTTTATCTTTCAAGACATAGGCGTTTGAGCAAGGGGTCAAGAAGCGCAAATGGGCAAGCGGCTTTTCGCACCTATCACTTTTTACAAATGCACATACCATAACATCAGTTCCATGAGGCCTTCGAGGCGACGATCACGTACCCGGTAAACGTCTGCTAACTCAAGATAAGCTAGCGCGTGCTCCAATGTACCTGGAGGCGGCCTCGAGACGACAAACATGTTATTTACAAGAGTATGATTTCCTCCTCCTCCGCACCCCAGGCCCTCCAGTCTTGCCATCCCGGCCCCTCATCGCAGACCGGCCCAAGCATCACGCTCTCGACCCACGTCTGCCCGATAATCTTGAAGCAGCCAGCGTTGCCATCTTGTCTTCCTCCTCCCACCGGGCGCAGCGCAAAGGGCACATATCCTCCGCTCAGGACGGCGAGGACGTCTCCGGCCGTCGTGGGGCCCGGTGCCAGCCCGTAGTAGCCCCTCGCCGTCCTCACGAAGACCCTGTTGCGGGCGGACGACTTTACGATGTCGTGGACCTTGTCCACGCCGCTGCTTGAGCCGGACCGACTACCTTCTGCCTGTCGCTGGTCATCTTCGGCTTCGGGGGTTGTTGGGCCAGGATCGTTCTCTTTTGCTTCTTCACCGCTGCCTACGGGTAAACTTATTCCGTGGCGGGAGAGCTCGGCTACGACGAGTTCCAGGAAGTCCTGAGGATTGCTCTCTGGCTCTCCTCCCTGCGACGGTGTGAAGTCTCTGACCTGCTGCCGGCCCTCCTCCTCTTCCGAGACCACTGTTTTGTCCTCCTCCTTTCCTTCGTCTCCGCTCTCAGCAAGCTTGTCCCGACGGCGAAGCCAGTCCAAGGTCAAGGTCTTGACATGTTGGCAGTACTCGAGCATGTGATCCGGCCACGTCTCGGGGTCGCCCGCGTGCCGTCCCATGGTCAGGCACCGCAGCACGGCCGTCGTGACCATGTGAGGCGCGTAGGCCAGGGGCGGGCTTCCCTCCACGGCCTCCTCCAGATCGAACCACGTGCTGGCAAGGAGGGGCACGATGTGTTCTACGATGTCCAGGGCTTCGGGCGCCGGCAGTGAGAGGACCGAGGTGACGGTGTCCATGAGCACGCCGCGCGTCTTCAGGCACCATTCCCGGGCGCTTGAGCTGTCGGTATCACTGCTGGGGGAGTCTCCCGGCTGGCTGACCACTGGACTGAGGTCGACAAGGTCGACGGTCATGCATGTAGGGCCGATGGGTATACGTGAATTGTAATAACCAATATTCCAGCGCGGGATCCAAGATGGGAGCTGCGCATCGCCGAGTGTCTCGTCATCATGGACCACATGGTGCAAAAGGCGTCCGTCCCGGGACGAGCGGACGTAATTGCGAGCAAACTCCAAGTAAGCGTGGTGAAAGGAGTCCCTGTAGTTTGGCTGGATAGTACGGATCAAGTCGGCATCGCCGCCATCCTCTCCACCAGCCGCCGCGAGTGACAGGAAGGCGTAGATGCGGTCGCGCGGGTCGGTCATGGCCACCACTCGGGCTTGTTCGAGCACCTCGAGGAAGCTGCAGTCGCAGTCGTCCACGCCGAGTGCGCGCGCCTCGGCCGGACGAGCCCGCGCAAACATGGTGCGGTGCACCTCGGCCATGGTGAGGTCGTGACGCAGGCCCAGGCCGGCGTTGGTGGCGCGGCCCTCGACCCAGAGATACGTGCGGACGAGGTCCAGCCACGACACCTCGAGGTCGTTCTCGCCCCAGAGGACGACGGCGTTCTGGGTCAGCCACGCCTCCTGGATGGTCCAGCCGCGGGTAAACCAGATCTGGCGCAGCATGAGGGAAAAGGCCTTCCAGCGCTCATCGACGATGATGGGGTCGTCATTTTGGGCGAACGGAATAGCTGCGTCGTCTTTGGAAGCGATCTCATGCAGCTTCATAGTGTTGATGTCACTAATAAGCGAGATGGCTTCCTTGGCGAGGCTGTAATCGTGTGCGCCGAGGTAGATGAGGACTCGCTCAGGGCGCAAGTATACAGTCCCCATGAGGGCTACCTGAGCCCCTTTCTCATCCGGATCAGCCTGGTTGATGCAAATGGAGTCGGCCCAGAGCCTCCGAGGCGGGCCCGTCGCCCGGCGTAAGCGTCGAAGGGCCAGGTCCAGGCTCCGTGTGACGAATATCTCGCCGCCCTCGCAGGTGATGGGACGATCTCGCCGAGATGTGCCCCAAGTATATGAGAGGGCCTCATAGGAGGCGGTATTGGCCTCACCACCACAGCTCTTGTCACCGGAGCCCTCAAGCCGGACGGGCTCTAGGCTGATGACGACATCATCGTCCGCCTGGCCAGGTTGCAGAACGAGGCAACGGACGTACTCACTGCTGCTCGGGAGCGGGGAGTATCGGTAAGGTGGGAGGCCGGTCGACGGGCGAGTTGGACGGTGAAGGCCTGCGCGGAAGTAGCCACCTTCTATCCGGGGGATATAATCAACGTCCGCAGTGTCTCTCTTGAGAGCGAAGTCGAACTCGGGGTGCACATTCGGAAGGGACTTCTCAGGTGGAGGCTTCTTTATCGGCATCAGGGCGGTCACTTTATATATATCCTGTTCTACACTTTTCGCCTCTATACTTTCTACCTGGCAAAACAGCGAAGAAGGTTAGGAGATCAATCCTCGGTGGTTCTCTCCTGGGGGTGGGATATAGGACTGGAGGTTGGAGGAGTGGTAGAGGGTCAAGTGGTTGCCTGAAGAAGGTATTGACACTGCAGTAGACCAAGAACGATTAAATAATTAAAAGAAATCTAGAAGGAAATACTTTGGCCTCTAAAATCTCATCGCTTCATGGAAATGGGGCAGCTCAGCCCCGATGATCCAGTTCGCGAACTGATGCGGCAGGGTTGATGCAGCCAAACCCTTGTAGGAAGGCATTTTCCCCTCGCCCCGCAAGATATGGATGGATGCAACATCCCGTCACAATAGAAGCTGACAAGAAGAGGTGATATACATGACTGTTTGAAAGAAGAGGGGGGGGATAATAGTATTTCTTGTGTCGATAAATGTGCTTCTTCACAAAAGAGATTGGTATTGGTTTTAACGATCGACTATTTAAAGAGAGGCGAGACGATTGTATACAGCTATCGCTCCCTCACTCGAGCTTGTGGTATCATCCATATCTATAATTCAGTTGGTTGAGGCACTGCCAAACAGGCAAAGAACCGTCCAGCATCCTTCCACCTCAGATCTGTTTCTAAGCCTTTGGCTGGGTTTATACAGGGGAATAGAAAACCCCAGGATGAACCTCAGCTCTCTCTGTACTGTTCCTCGGCGGAAGGGCTGGGTGGTCTCTCATACAGTCATCAACCCAGGCCTCACATCTATCACGATTGTCCCTGATTTCCGGCCATCTGGTCAGTCTCTCCGGTGCCGTGGGTATTTCTCCTCCTTCTTCTTCTTCTAGAATAGGGTCGCAAGCGACGCTTAACCGGGTGCTCGCTCGGCGATACCAAGGCGGAGACAAAGAAGGGCCTCCCTTAGAGTCAGAGTGGTCCAGAGCGGGAGAGTGGCGTCTTTGTCCCTTCCTACGATGGAGGAAACTCCTCACAGACTTGGCCGTCGGGCTGTAGCTCCCGCTTCTCTTTTTCGAATCTCCCCTTGTAACCCCCGACAAGGGTGCTTCTTCGCCGTCATCGTCGCCTCGTCGCCTCTCGTTCCTGGAAGCACCACTCTTCGACCGGCCTACCCCTGAAGTCGATTCCTGTCTTCCGCTGCGCGCCCTTCTTGGATTTTGGTGTCGTGCCGAGCTCGGTCTCCTCCCGAGGTTTTGATCCTCGTGAGTCCTGCGCTTTCTCGCCTGCTGTCTCGCCTTTTCTGGCTGCTCCAGGTCTCGAGCGGGGAGAAATATCATCACCAAGGCGGTTAAGAAGCTGAAATTTGGACCTAGTGTCACCATTGGCTTCTTTCTGTGGCTTGGTTCCCTGGATCTTCCTCTCCTTTCCTGACTTCGTCTCCCCTCGTACTCTTGGGGGCGCTCTCTGTCCCCGGGTATGCAAGAACACCCGTCTTGTAGGGCATCAGGAGGCGCTTTGCGACGCCACATATTCGCAGATTATCGTATTCCTTTGCTTGGCTGTCTTTGGATAAAGTTGGCCAGTCGTCGGGAAAGTTGACTCCCTGCTTAGAGGTGCTTATCGTTTTACGCAGACAAATACGTGTTATGATATGGTTCGAGAATTTCAAGAATTGCAATGAATGAACTGGTAATCTAGAACTTTTATACACATTCATCGTTGCGCCTTATCTAAATGAGTTCGCAGACTCGAAAAATAACACATGAGCATACAACTCCAATCCTTTCAGACATCAACGTGGCTCGCCGGACTGTTTTCTTAGTCACCCAGACAAAAAAACCAACTACGCGCTACATTCAATCGCCACATTTCACATGTTATGGTATTTGATATAGACAAAGGCCATTCTAAATGGTGCGGAGAGTGCGTGTTGTCGGCTTACCCTAACACGCTCTTCTAGACAAAGACAACCATAAGATAGAATGAAGGGGAAAGCCCACCAAGGGAAATAATTCAATGAGTCATAATTGAGGCTTTTACTAGTTGGTGAATCTCAGTCCGTCTGAATAATAGTGTGGAAATCAGATGCCGGACTTCCTTCTGGAAAGATGTCCGTTGTGCTTAAAGGTGCGCATTTTGTTCTGTTCTTGTGTGAATTGCTGCAACTCCGACTACATTCTGCCCACAACTTCCAAGTAAGATTTAAACCCAAGGAGAGTACAATCCCTACCTGAGTCTCAAGCCTTTAGCCTGCATAAAAAAATGTTAGAACATCGCCCCGCGCCATGGGTCGAAGGGTTGGCCCACGTCCATAAGTATAAGGCTGTCCGCGACTGACCATCAACTCTGACGTAAATCCATCCGCAAAAAAAAAAAAAGAAAAAAGCATGTTCTAGCTCTACAAAGACACAGGAACGACTTGGGATCACAAAAAAACGGCGCAAAATATGCCCAGAATCCGTTGCGATATATGCGGAGTAGTATCCCGTGACTATTTTGATCACTGTGGCTTCTATCTTTGCCCCAACGCCTCGTGCGCAAATAGGAAGCAGACTCGCGATGACTGCATATTAATCTCTGACGATGGGACTCGCCATGTTCTTTTCCAGGACCGGCCGGGAGTGAGGCAGAAGGGGGAAAGGGGCAGCCTGCCGAACCAGTACCACCTACCACCTTTCCTGTGCCGTGATGATACAATTCTGAGGCGAGTCGGATACAAAGGGCAGAATTTAATTTTGGAAGTTGAAGAAGAAGGGAAAACCGGTCTTACATTCTCAGGCTTTCCTATCACGACTCGCAGATCGTTTTGGGTAAAGCCCCTGAAGCTCAGTGTCAATGGAACAGCAAGCTTTCTGGACGAGGGAGGAGGCAAGTGGAGGGGCTGGGCAGGATCTGCTTGTGTTCTGTTCCTGGCTATCCTTGGATGCTACGACATAGGCCGGTATGGAAACAAGCTGATCCGGAATCTTCTTCATTACAGGCGATTTCAATTCAAACCAGCAAGGCAAGGCCTGGGAAGGTTGTGAGATGACGCATATATACATAAAGGGAATTGAGCGACAAAATCGCCATTTCTAAAACCCGTGTTGACATAAGGTCATGTCGTAGGATAGCGACATGTAAAGCACATTGCTAGCCCCTTCTCAGCTAATCATGTCCAAATTTTGACCACCAATTCATTTTTATACGTGCGATGAGACCTACCCTGTGAGAACGTCTTTTATCTTCAAGTCAAAGGCGAGATCCCCGGCACAAAATCCACAGGATAGGCCATACGGGGTCATTTAGAAGAATGAAATGGCTGATCGGGATGATTGGTGCGCAGAAGTCAGGCTGAACGAGCTGGTACAAGCCGGGATTGGCGCTGCTCGGCCGTATGTCGTATGAACACAAGCATTGACTGTCCAGGAATATTGCTACACTTTTCACGTGCGGCAAGCAACACAAGGATATATTAGTGTCGATGGTGCTTAGATCAAAGGACAAATGAATTTCTTCTTTTTGCTCTCGTACGTTTGTTCTTAGTGACCAAACGTCACAAACAATACTGTTGCCTAATACTGAAAATACTTGGGAGCACCCCGCAAGAAACAAATTTCTGTCTGCTTGATAATTGGATGCATCTTCTTTGATCAATGCATAGAAAGAACAATGGATGCCAACTCCGTGATACACAAGGGAGACCTGGAGCCATGAGCTTTGGAACTCTTCCAAGTCCAGAGTGAATTAGCCGGCTACTAAACCTTAGCCTGATCTGAAAATATCCCGTGTTGGATAGCTTCCCAAGTTACAATTCTTCCTTTCTTCCATTTTATCCCTTGATTCTCTCCCTTTTCGCCATTTTATGACACCAGTCTGGTTATATTAGATCCTGACTCAAATCAATCAAATCCTCATTCACGTTGACCGTAGAGTTCTCCTATTCGTCTATGTCAATCAGAGAATTTGTCTCAACCTTCGTTTTTTTGAAGTTTGGAGGTCTGCTATCGTCCACGACACGTTGGCATTTATCGTCAATCGTTATTTGCTTGAATGTCTCTCGGATATGAACAGATGAGCCCTGTGAGGAAGACTTCTTTCTACGGTGCTGTTCTAGCACCATGTCGTTTGTTTCAATGCTTTGTGCACTCCAACCCCGCACAAAAGAGGGCATTGAATGTTGCTCTTTGCTATGCTGAGCCAAGTAATCATTACCCCGAGTTTGAAGGGATTCTTGGGGTATAGAGCCGTCCGGTGAGCCGAACAAGCTGCGAAAGTCACCCTGAAGTAGTTTGTCGTTGGAAACGTATGAGGTGACACTTGCAGGGTGGCTTTTCGGCTGCGAGCTCTTTTGAGAGAGGCTCTGATTGTTTTTTTCGCAAAGATGTGCACACTTGCATTTCGCATGGCAAAGAGAAATGCATCCATGGCCACAAGGGAGTTTGAGACCACATATATTGGCACAGCCTCCTGGAATAATCGATGCCCAGTCAGCCGCCTTGTGGATTGGAGTGATATTTCCATGCGTCTTGCAAGACACTGGAAGGTAGTTCTCAATTCTCCCCTGCTGCTTGAACGTTTCGTGGACAGAGCCCCATGTGTCATGACTGGTGGCGCTGCTGAGCAGAAGACTCTTGGCGTTGCCGAATACATATAGGCCTCTCTTTGCTCGACTTAGAGCGACGACTGCACGGTTCACGTTCTCGACAAACCCTGCCGTTGGGCGGTCCGTGGCAGGCTGGCCTCGGACAAGAGATAGAATGATGACATCGTTTTGCTCTCCTTGAAACCCGTCGACTGTTCGGACTGACCATTCATTCTTGGGGTTCATAGAACTGAGGAATTTATCTTCATTAATGGCTGTTGCAATATGCTCCAGCTGGGCGTTGTAATATGTGAGAATCGTGATCTCGCTCGGCTTGACGCCGTTCCGGACGAGATATCGCGCAAAGCCTACAATTATTTCGGCTTCGTCGAAATTCACATAGGACATAGTGCTACTTCTGGAATCCACGAAATCGTGAGAAAACCACC